CCATAAAATTCTTTAAAAAGATGAGTTTTAAGACAGGCTTTAAAAGTATTATAGTCACTTTCAGCTCTGATACTAAAAGGCAATTTGTTCCACAATTTTGGAGCATAAACAGTAAAAGCCCGGTCTCCATAGAATTTGTTGCATTTTCTGTCTATTTCACAGTGATTGAGTATAAAATTGTTTTCAAAAGAGTTTCTTGTTAACCTGCGTGGTTCAGATGACTGAATAAGATGTGCAATATAACCAGGTGTGTTTTCTTTAAAAGCTCTAAAAATTATGCACAACACTTTGAATAAAATTCTTTGTTTGATTGGCAGCCAATGCAATTCCTTTAACACTGGAGTGATATGATCCAAGCTCTGGTTCCTTATCTTTTTAACTAATCTGGCCGCTGAATTTTGAATCAATTGGATTTTTTTCAATTTGCTGTCACTCACCCCAAAAAGAATACTGTTGCAATAATCTAATTTTGATGTAATAAAAGCATGAACTAATTTTGTAGTTGTTTCTATATTTAGTAAATTCCGAATCTTCCCTATTCTCCACAGTGAAAAAGATGCCGACTTACAAACATTGTCTATATGCTTGTCAAAGATCCCAGCTGAATCAAAAAACACACCTAAATTTCTAGCACTGACAGATGCTTTCAAAGACACATTGCCAATGCGAACATTAGTGTTAGTAGCACAGTCCTTTCTATCTTTAAATTTAGATGAAAACCAGATTATTTCCGTTTTAGTGTCATTTAGAGCCAGCTTATTTGAAAGCATCCACACCCGGATCTCATCAATACATTTCTCTATGTCTGACACTACAGAATAATCACACCGACTACCACAAGTTACATAAATCTGAGTATCATCAGCAAAAATTGTGGTCTGAAGATTGTGCTATATCCATCCTCCTCTTTGCCAGCTAAGGGAATATCTGCATCTCATTATAGTTCTGATTGAAAATAAAATATTCACAACCAGTTCTGAATATAGAGACACAAAGAATACCTTTTTTAAACGATGGAGTTTCTGATCTCCAAAATTAGACAAGAAAGTGTTAATTGCATGACACAGGGTAACATGCTCAAGGTAGAACACAGATTTCACAAACCTTGAACTGGGCTTCTTCAAATCCTTGGCACTGTTAATCAGTTCAAGATGACACAGCTCACGTAGCACTTGTCGCCTTGTCTTGGTAGTGTCGGTTATATTCTCCATTATAAGATCTACAACGTCTTTCTCTGAAACCCCATCAGTATATCCAGGTTATAAATATCTTACTTGCCACAAAAATCCCACTCTTAAGTTTGAATTTTCATAAAAACTAAAAGAGTAATTGCAGAAAGTACTGAATTAAACATAAGAGAGAATATGTATATTTCAAGCCGATTTATCTGCCTTCTACTTTAAGATGTAAAATTTACCCTCTGAGCTAGTGAACGAGTAGAATATTTACAGCCATATTCGAATCTTATAAAATTAACTTGTTAAATTTTAAATTTCAGCTAAATTTTAAAAAGAACTCCAAGAATTTGTTCTTAACATAAACCGTTTTACATGCATCCACCCATACCACAGATATGTTCATTTCAATGCAATTTCAGCATTATGCAAACTAGATCCTCTCTGTTCAATGGCAGACAATACTTACCTGTATCATCTCTGAACTTGTCAAACAGGTACTTCAATTCTTCGTCCTGTTCTTCAGTCCACGCAGGGGCACTTTTACTATGTCTGTAACATCAAACAGTAACACTAATAAGAGACAAATTTGACATCAATGTGATGTGTAACTTACAATAATATTTTGATGCTTTTGATATCAAATTGCAGGTCTTACGTCAGTGTATATGTAACATTTGGGGCAAATTTCAACTCCTGCGATTTCAATTGTAATAACTATTTTTCCCAGTGTCTACACATCTATATGATCTAATACAATGTCCACACTTATATAAAGTACGATAAGGTAGCCACTCATAATCCCGTGATGGTCTCCCTACCTCCACAAGTGCCGTCCCTGCAGGGGCCTAGCAATTAAACCTCGGAGCTGAGCTTTAATCCGTTTAATGGCGCATGTGGAGGTGGGGAGACCATTAGGAGATTATGTGGCTTCCTTTTATGATGGGTCAGCCATATTTGATTCCCGGATCAGTAGATCCCAGGATCATCTGCTCTGAATGGGCTCTTAGTAACAACAAAACACCAATTTCCAGTCTCAATCCACCATCTTTGCTTACTTTTCCTTGTATGTACCATAACCTTCCACCACCTCCATGGCATCTTTGTTGGTTTTCCAGAACAACAGCTCCACAAATATCTTTTCATTTTTCTGGGCACACTCAAAGAATTTTCTGACAACATATTTGGAAAATGTTACAATCTCCTGAAATAGAAAATTATCAATATAAATTATGCCAGACATTAACACTCTGTCATAAAATAATGCATATTCTATGTTCTATACTGATAGCCAATTGAGAAAAAAAATCATGATTCCCCCCTTCCCAGTTAGTATTACTATGGTTCTTCAAAACACAACTATGTACAAAATATACCAGAAAATATATAACATTTATATAACTGCTACAGCTATTCAAATTCTAAACAGTATAAGTGTTTACTCTAATACGTAAAAAGCTAACAAGAATCTTTTTTTGCTTTCTTTTCCTTTACTCTCAAATTACCATGACTGTGAATATAAATTTCAAATCGAAGAATCTGACCTCGTAATGTTTGGACTTGGCCATGGGGTCAAACAGGATCTTCTGAAATGTCCGGAACAATGAGGCCTGGAACAGCATCCCAACCTTCCCTGTATCCACAGCAACCCGATGTAGGAGCTTGACGATGCAATGATTGGTGAAGGTGCTGTTCTTGGAGTACTCAGAGAGCAGAAGTGAATAGTGCTTCAAGACTTGGGGATTTCCAAATCTGAAATGCATTTTAATTAATTATGTAAAATATAGCACAATGTTCTCTCTCTCCCAATTCATACACTTTATAGGTTAAAGAAGTTCAAAATGCTAGATAAAATGTGAAAAACATTTACTTTTATTTCTGGCGATGCTCACCTGTCTATAAACTCTCTGAAACTGAACTCCTGTTCGTAATTCTCAAAGGCTGACACTCCTTCCTCTGGAAAATATGTGAACATTGCACTCAATTTATATACATAAGATAAAATGATTTCAAAGTCTTAATAAAACACTGCATGATAAAGGTTTTTCGCCATTTCAGTACCTCACCAAGCTCCAGGTAAATTTTGCAAAATAACTAACTTCTTTTCTGAATCAGTCATATCAATTTCTTAACCACATCAAAAATAGAATAATGAAAAAAGATGAAAATATTTGCATTAATATACCATACTCGTTAAGTGCAATAATTTTATACCACATGTGACAGTGAATTCACTGCTAATAGAGGTCAGCACAAGCTACCTTCTTCTATCTCCTCTTGATCGTCCTCTTCTTGCAGCTCTTCTTCATGTGTGGCCTCTGCTGCAGCAGGTTCTGTGAATGAATTTTAAAGAAATTTTAGAACGCTATTTGAAAAAAGATTTTATGGACAACATAAAGATAAGTTTTAGATATTACACTTTTTTACTCCAAGGATACAACCTTTAAAAACTCTAAACATTGATGTTACAGTAATGAGATCTTTAAATAATACTGTATTAAAGGAAAAATGATTAAGAAAAATGGATCTCTTCTGCTAAGTATATTCTGACCGTCAACTTTTTTTCAAACTCACTTGGAATATCAGTGAAGAATATTTCTCTGAGAGCCATAAATTCATCTTCTGGGCTGATGTCAGGAGTGCCAAACTCCTGTCTATCTGGCCACACCTCCCTAGGGGAAAATACGCATATCATTAAAATTAATTTTGTTTTTAAAAAAAAAATCACCCATCAAAAATAATTTGTCCAGGTGGGTAACTAAATTAATATAAGATGTCAAAATTCCTTTTTTAAGGCTGTCATGGAAAACTCCTGGTGTAGACTTCACGGTGAAGATGCCATGATTATTGGGCTCTACTTTGAATAAAGTCAAAAAATAAATAAATAAATAAATAAAAAAATAATAATCCTTGTTTGAAAGATGGTGAATCCACTTTAAAATCATACTAAACCACAAACTTTAAGTCATATGGTCTCATAAAATCTTGACAAAGTAGTTTGCAATTCATCATTGCATTTAGACTTTATGACTAAAACAATCAAAACGAAGACTGAAAAAATCCTGAAATCAGGTTTAATCCTGGTAACTTTCACCCATATTTTGACCATTACAACTAAATAATTCAACCTTACCTGGCAGCTCTAAACATGGCCACAGCTTCTCCTGCCTTGCCACCTCGCAGGAACTCGTGAATCTTCACCATAGCATTAATCCTGAAACAAAATAAATGGACATGTTGAAAGTTTGCATAGGACAAAAAGCATGCCAACTTTGGGAGGGATTTGAAAGTTGTTTTATTTTTCTAAAAGATTATTCTTGCATGAACACATCACAGCTAGTTCAACAGTGTAATTAAGTTGCCCCAAAACACGATTTTGTGAAAGAGACCTTTCCAATTTTTAAGTCATTTTGTCAAACAGTACCTAGTATATACCTACCTCTGCTGGTCATCTGTTTCCTCTGATGCAGCATCAAATGGGGTCACATTTTCTGGGACGTCACCTCTGTCCTGAAAAATGGCGGACAAGTCACCAGATATTCCATCCCATTGATTCTCCAGTTGTTCCTGGGTGAATTGTGGCTCTTCTGGACCTTGGGGCTGTTTCTGCTTGCCCGCTGGGATACAAGATAACAAGATATAGAAGAAAACTTATATCATCATCATTATGGTGCAAGAAATTGGCATGAGGAATAAAAGTAAACAAAAATCAAAATTTTCAAGATGATTTTATCAATTTTGAAAGCAATTTGCAAGTATGAAATGTTTACGCAAAATCATGTTTATAATTACTGTACAACACTATACGACCCATTTCCATAAACACATTTTCAGTCAAATTTCTCATAATCACTGCTCTGTGTGTTAAGATCACCCACTGTGGACACAAGTTCACAAACATTCAGCAAGTACAAGATGATCTTGACCTCTGTCGATAATTAAAGCTTCATTTTAGCTTGAACCCCACAAAAAAAAAACCGTCTTGTTTGCGCCAACGCACCTTTGCTCTTTTTCTTCCTTCCCCCTTTTTTTTTCTTCTGCACCACCAAGTGCTTGTTTTTCTTGCAGAAATGCTCCAGCATCTTAGTAAAGCAATGGGTGGTCTCTATCAGGTCCTTCAGGAAAGTCCTAAATTTTAAGAAAAGTTTAAACAATTAAAATGTAACATATACCCAAAATAATGGATAATATCTAACAGCTATTATAACTGAAATTGGAGAAATTCTAGTATTGGATACAAACTTTTTACTTTCAATCATGTATCATATGAACTTAATGATAGTTTAAATTAAGCATTATTATTATTATTATTATTATTATTATAACAGCATTTATCATTTATGTACTGAGCTTTCCATATCCTTACCTTGACTGACAAGACTGGTCAAACTTCTTAAGCAAGATCAAAAATATGTCCCTGTACTCCATCATATAAAACACATTGCCTGAAAGACAATGGGGTCAAAATTAAATATTAAGAAATATTTGTATGAACAAAACTTTTAGTCCATAATTATTTTCAATGTTTTTTTTTTATTCATCTTGGAAACTAACCTCCTGTACCAAACAGATATTCAACTAAGTTAAACTCAGAATGAGCTCCATTTTGTATTTGTCAACACCATAAATCATTTGTCAGTAAGATGACTTTGATGCTAAAAAATTAATATACTAATGATAAATTATTAATATAATATAACTGTAATGGCAATAATGCTAACATCTAATACTCTTATTTATTAATATATTACTATTGTTTATTATTATTAATATTCATTATTATTCTTATTTTTTAATATGTTACTATTATTTCAAACCTTTAAGCACTTTTGCACTGGCCTTCAGTTCCGGGTCTTTATCCATAGTGTTCAGGGACATCAGTAACTCCTGGTACGCTCTCAGGGCAAGGTGCATCCTAGAAGCCAAAGGGATACCATGTTCAAAAAGCTTTGGCCTTACAGTATTTATTCATACATTTGTTCATTCATTTATGACAGAATTTAATTCAGTCAAATATCTGGATACTTTTGTCAAATCAACAAGTAAATATGGACTGTATGTTTGGCCCAAAAATTATAATATTTTTACAATCATATGGGAACTTAGAATATGTTAGGCACTTTGGTAATATTTACTATAATAAAATCCTAAAATGAAATTTTGGTAATATTTACTTTANCCCTAAAATGCACCAAATTGCACCTCGATTCAAAAAATTTTTCGGGGGGGCACGCCCCCGGACCCCCCTAGTATTGCTAGGATCGCGGACTGCCTACCACCTCGCAGAGCTTGAAAGCCAGGGGAAACACTGATTATTATTATTATTATTATAACAGCATTTATCATTTATGTACTGAGCTTTCCATATCCTTACCTTGACTGACAAGACTGGTCAAACTTCTTAAGCAAGATCAAAAATATGTCCCTGTACTCCATCATATAAAACACATTGCCTGAAAGACAATGGGGTCAAAATTAAATATTAAGAAATATTTGTATGAACAAAACTTTTAGTCCATAATTATTTTCAATGTTTTTTTTTTTTTATTCATCTTGGAAACTTACCTCCTGTACCAAACAGATATTCAACTAAGTTAAACTCAGAATGAGCTCCATTTTGTATTTGTCAACACCATAAATCATTTGTCAGTAAGATGACTTTGATGCTAAAAAATTTATACTAATGATAAATTGTTAATATAATATAACTGTAATGGCAATAATGCTAACATCTAATACTCTTATTTATTAATATATTACTATTGTTTATTATTATTAATATTCATTATTATTCTTATTTTTTAATATGTTACTATTATTTCAAACCTTTAAGCACTTTTGCACTGGCCTTCAGTTCCGGGTCTTTATCCATAGTGTTCAGGGACATCAGTAACTCCTGGTACGCTCTCAGGGCAAGGTGCATCCTAGAAGCCAAAGGGATACCATGTTCAAAAAGCTTTGGCCTTACAGTATTTATTTATACATTTGTTCATTCATTTATGACAGAATTTAATTCAGTCAAATATCTGGATACTTTTGTCAAATCAACAAGTAAATATGGACTGTATGTTTGGCCCAAAAATTATAATATTTTTACAATCATCTGGGAACTTAGAATATGTTAGGCACTTTGGTAATATTTACTATAATAAAATCCTAGAATGAAATTTTGGTAATATTTACTTTAATAAAATTCTAGAATGAACTTAGCTTGAACTTGTCTCATCCTTGCATCTTGAAAACCAGATTTGTTTAAGTCATACATTTTCCATTTCCAGTGCAATAAACTGATAAATATTCCAACAAATCTCACCTTTTAGACCAGGTGACCGCTTCTTTCTTGTCACTCAGCACGGTCTCATGGTACGTCATTAAATTGGTCTGGATGTAATGAAAGGTAGGCACAGACATGGTCTCACTGGGAGAGAAAATAACAAATCTTATCATTTATTTTGTCTTTTGTATACATTTCATATATTCAGTAAAATTCTAAAATATACAGTTACACTTATCTTCTGCTGTTGATGGTCTAGTCAAATTTGGAGCAGAAATCAATACTACTATGCTACAGAATATAAAATGACTTTGTATGATTGTCATATAGGAGTTAAAGGTTACTGACAAGGTTCATTATCATCAAAATACCAAAACAGAGGTTTTTCGTGCAAGGAATTAAATTGGTGTTGAAACAGTGTTTGTGGGTATCAAGAAATTTGAGAAACCAATTTAATTTGCAATTTTTTCCCTGATAAAATGACATCTGTATAAATGCAATATAATTTACAGTCAAATATCTGGACACTTTAGTCAAATCAACATGTAAATATGGACTACATGTTTGGCCTAAAATAGAATGCAATAGAATTTACAGTCAGTGGTCATTGAAGATTTATCTGTTATTCAAAACATGTAAATAAAGGCAGTCATTTACGGGTTTTTGTCTAACCCTGACAGTACCCTGAAACAGTAACACAGGTGATTTTACCTCACTAACTCCACCCTGAACTTGTACAATCTATTGAACTGCATGAAAAACCTCATGGCCCACAGGTAATAGCTCTCATCATTCTCCTGAGCTTTGGAGTGCAGCAAACTATCCTGAAAATAAATGAATAAAAGTGCGTTCTTGATTAACAGGTAATCAAGGTGTGCACATCTTACCTGGAAATTGCTCAACACAATAAAAATGCCCTACAATACACTTATAATATAAATCAATACTAATCGATGCTATGTTACCAAGTTCATTGTCCTAATCTGTCAAATACATATCAAGTACATTATTGCTTTTGGAATCTTTCATAGTTCAAAATAATAATAATAATGATGATGATGATGATTATGATGATGATGATAGATAAATAAATAAATAAATAAATAAATAAATAAATAAATAAACAAACAATTAATTAAATAAATAAATGTATTGTTTTAGGAGTCCCACCTTGACAGCATACATCAAAGGATTGTAGCAGTTCTCTAGCAGCTGAATACAGAACTCCTTCAGAAAAAGCCGAATGCTCAGAGTAGAACGCCTTGTCAGTTCTTGGCTTTTGATTGGTTGACGGTTCTTTGGTTTTTTCTTTGGTTTCTTATCTTGATCAAAGCTGAGGTTTTTAACCTCTGCCAAGGAGCGGTGGTATATCATCTGATTTTCGCTGATAGATTTGACGTTCTTCATCACATATGTGCCGCCAAAACGAGAGTGTCTGAAATCAAGTTCCAAGATATTTCTTTCTGCCAAGAATTTAAAAATGGCTACATGTATTATCAGAAGTTGCTAATATAGCAGTAACTGATTAAGTTAAATAACAAGGGTAAGTCAGTAGACAATCCAATGAAGAGCCGCATCAACTAAACAGAGATGGGTAAAAAAGAAATTTAGTCTCCTCACGACACCTGTCACATACCACAGTTTAAACTTCACATACCCTGTACTCATTTCAAACTTGGCCAGCAAAATTTTTTGATACTTAAATAAAATCAAACGTGCTATTTCGGATTAATCCACATTAACAATATTTTCATTCGTCGAACAGTGCATTGCATGCACTGCATACCTGGAACTGTACTTCATGACACATGCCAGTTTTTGANGCTTAAGGTAAAAAAGAAATTTAGTCTCCTCACGACACCTGTCACATACCACAGTTTAAACTTCACATACCCTGTACTCATTTCAAACTTGGCCAGCAAAATTTTTTGATACTTAAATAAAATCAAACGTGCTATTTCGGATTAATCCACATTAACAATATTTTCATTCGTCGAACAGTGCATTGCATGCACTGCATACCTGGAACTGTACTTCATGACACATGCCAGTTTTTGAGCCTTCTCTTTTTCACGAATGAGGTCCAGCTGTCTAAAAAAAGATAATAACAATAATATTAGTAATAATAACTATTAAGAGAATATCAGTAATCTGCAAATGTTATGAATAATAACAGCTATTTAAAACATAAGACTATTATATTTTAAGAGAATTTCTAAAAAATTCTAACAGAAATTAGATACAATAATTAAAAACATAATGATCTAACTGATGCTCTCTTTATAACTCACTTATCCTCTTTCTGTCTCTCAGAATCTGTCTTGGCCGACCCTGCTGACGCCAACTGCTCTGGTGTCTGGAGAACAATATGCACTCACATATGTAATAAATGCCATTTAGACAATAATGGATAACTATAAAATATTGGCAAGATATCAAATGAAAACGAAACCAACCCCTCACTTCTAAAAAGCAATTCAACTGTTTGATGAAATTCTTGTAGTGTGTTTACAGTGTGCATTTTGTCAAATGCGGTCATACAAAAAAACAAGCACAAGCTACAAATCATGCCTCAGAACCACTGTGTTAACACTGAGAACCATGGAGCTCAACAAGACACAAAACCTCGGAACTCGTCAACATGAAACTCTTAAATTTTGCGCAGTGTTTGGTCATCACAGGCTGGGATATTGCAAAAACTATCTTGTAAAAACAAAACTCTGAAGATTAAAAATCTTTTGCCCAACAATGCCTTTTTCATCATGTAAATAATTTTGATATGAAAATAATTAGGCAGCTTTCAAAATCGGTACCAAGAAAAAAGAATCTGATGCAACTTTATTTTAAGCCACAAACTATCGTCTTTATCACAGCAGTTTTAAGAGCTGTACGCCTGTGCTTTGCGACTAATCAAGTAATGAACACCTAAGCAAGCCAGGAAATGTTCACTTCCATACAAACTCGTGTCTCACCTGTTCCCGAAACATAAGAGATATGATCTCCAACACGTGCATACTGAACTGACGTTCATCATCTGAACTGGCGATATACAACAACAGGTCCTCCATACCACTGACGTGTAGAGACCTTTAATAATATAAGTAAACAAGATCGTCCTAATTCTTGATTTTTATCTTAATTATCACCCGAGCTCATTTTAGAAATCTTTAACTGCTGAATACTAAACATTATTTTTGGGCAAATTATTGTAGATTTGGATTTAAATCAAAATTTGGTGGAAATCACCTTGCTATTTGGCTTAAAGATATCTGAGCTGAAGTGAAAAAAAACATACCTGCCATAATATCAATTATATCTACTTTTTTTGCTGGTAGAGTATCCACCCCAATGTGAATGTAATTATAAAACATACTTACCACAAAAGTTGGTCATGAATACTGGCATCGTCATCAGTTCTCTGAAAAATAAATTAATTTTTTTATTCTGGTAAAACAGTTCACTGATGATATGGCATTCAAAATCATTGTCAGAATTTCTCAGATAAACAAAAAAAGATCACTGGGTATAACAATTCAATGTTAATGAGAGAAATTAACAATTAAACCCAATTTTAACAACTCTTTTATGGGACCAAATATATTTTGACCAAATAAGGCCAAAATAATATCTGTACAATTGCACACACACACACACACACACACACACACACACACACACACGCGACAAATTAAAAAGGGGAAAAAGCAACTGAGCCCAGTTACATCATCAATCATGTTGTTTACACAACTAGTGAATTATATGCTATGTACATGGTGTATACAGAAATATCAAAAGGCCATGTTTTTGTAAAGAGGGCATGTTGAGAGCATGTTTCTTGCCAGAGGTGAAGCATTCTCAATCCATCACTGTTTGTCAGTGTACATTAGCCTAGATCACAGTACAAGTTTACAATACAGTGCAGACAAGAGATGTAAAAAAGTGAGAAATGTTATGTCCTTGAAGCGTGATAATATTTGCTAAGTAAAAAATTAAGCTGATGAATGGTTACAATATTTGTTTAAAAAAAGGAGAGAGTGAGAGAGAGGGAAGGGGAAGATAGAGTGATAAAAGGGAGANTTGTATGTTAATTTTAAATTCAGTCATTTAAAATGTCACTACCCCCACATTAGTTCTCAATGGATTTCATACTTGTTTAGAAAAACTTGAGTAAAACGTAGCAAAATGACAATTTTGTTGACAAAGTTGTTGATTGACCACACAAAACGACTTACAAGCTGTAGTAAGTCTCCTAGTTTCTTTGTCAACACAGCAAATAAGGCCTCATCTGCAAATGCCTAGAATGAAGAGAATTCATAAACTGAACAACATGACTGAATAACAAAATAAGCTTAATAAAATTAACTATCCCTTAATAAACTAACCCTCAAAATCTGATAATCAAACTTTTTATACCACAATTTTTTAACCTTCTTGAAAGTTGCCATATAAAACCTGACATCAAAGATGTGCAGACTTCAGAGTGAATTTCTAGCAAAACATGAAAATGTCTAAAATCATAAGCTGTATCCTTTTGCAATTTTGAGCACAGAAATAATGACCGGATACATAAAATGCGTCAATCTGTACATGTTCCTGTCCACCTACCAGTTTGTAACTCTGCAGGTGCTGCTCTATCTCTAAATACTGATTGCGAGTTGTTTTATCTTCTGGGATAGCTCCATTAAAACACAGCATACCCGGCTGGGTGAGGTTGACCAGCAACCTGGAACATACAGGAAAGATATAATTTTACTGTGGAAGAGGTTTTTCATTGTCTCTTGGGTATAGAAGGTAAAAAGAAAACAGTTGCTAAAGAGAATTTTTAAAAAATTAACTTTTAAGGCATGGTGTTTTTACCCTTCCACGAAAGGGCTTTAATCACGACTGACTTATGTATCTTCCCTGTTTCTACATGTAATGATAAAATCCCCATCTGAAATTGACTAA